TAACTAACAAGTTAAAAGTACATGAGTCAAAAATTAACAAGCAATAATATTCCAAGTAGAGGTTCTAGTAGTGGCACAAATCAAGTTACAGAGGGAAAGTGGTTTTTACAATAAAAGGCCTATAGACTAGCACTTTGTCTATTATAGTGAGTGGGTTGTCCTTGCCATTTCTTTCCTTACAAGTCTTTGACTATTCTATTTTGTTTTTGAAAATGAGTTTCTTCCCTTTTGGAGTCTTGCTTAGTTTAATATGTAACTTCTCTATTCTTTTATTTTTACTAAAAACCTTGGTTTTTTATTATTAATTTTAAAGAAAGTTTACAGAGACTTTGGATTTCCATTCATTCATTGTTGCATTTTTCTCGCTGCCTACCCCTCCCCCAGTTTGCTCTTCTCTTTGAATAGTAAAATAAAAATTCTTTCATTGTTATACAATACCCTCCCGACCTCAGTCCACTCCACTATGCAGCCTTCATTCTGGACTCTTGTCATGACAGTATCATCTAATCTTATATCACTTTTAAATAATTCTCTCCCTCATCTGTTTCAGTACAGTATAAATATTTTCTCTCATCTTCCTCAGTCTCCTCCCAACTCCGATGTCAGTCCCATTTTAAGTTGTGTTTTATTTACTGCTGCAACTTTATTAAATTATTTTGTTTGCAGATAGTTAGATGTTAGGTAAAGTACATTGTTTTCTATATTTTGTTTGAATGTATTTGATTGCTTAAAGTTGTTAAATGGTTTTAATAGACATTAATGTTTCCTTCCACCATTTCAAAACCACATTGAAGGGGGGGAAGTTGCACAGTGACTTTATCTACTTTTCCTGGGATATAGATTTGAAAAATCATGTATAATTGAGATGTTTGGGTTTTTTTGGGTTGTGGGTTTGTGTTTTCTTCCTTTCTTTAAGCTATTTTTTATTAGGTTATAGTGTATTGTCATAGGTGTTTTCTTTCCCATACTTGTGGTACTGATTTTTTTTGTTTGTTTGTATCTTGATTTTTACCACTTAGTTAATGAGATTCCTGGGTAGTGCAAAAAAGTTAACACTCGGCTTCTAACTCACAGTTTGGTTGATTGAGTTCTTTGAAGGCACCTGAGGAAAATGCTTACTGATCTAATTCTGAAAAATTGGCTATTTGCAAATCCTATGATACACAGTCATATTGTTATACATTGGAGCAGCCATGGGTGGGAATCGCTGCTATGGCAACTGATTTACCTACCTTTATCTGACTCCATCAGGACTAGCCTTTTCACCTACTTTATTATTGGTGTGTTGTCCATTTTTAAAAATAGGCTCAAAATCTGCCAGCATCACATATTTCTTTGCTATTTGTTTCATGAAAAATTACAGAGTATTTATTCTCTCATACTTGAACCCTTTATTGTGTCTATATGTGTATTGTCGTTGCAACTTACCCCTTGCTCCAGAGGAGACTGCTTCCACGGAGCACCTGGTAGATTCAAACCATGTCCCTTTGGGATTGCAGTGCAGCTTAATATTATTCTCTATATTCTACCTCAGCTATCTCGTATACTGGCTTTTCAGGACAAGAGTATGTTTTTCTATGTGTGCACATGTGTAAATGTAACCTGTTACATAATAGGCACTTAGTGTTTGACTAATTGCTTATATTAAGCACCTAATTATTTAGGTCAATTACTTAATTGTTCTGCTTATAGTTTTAAGATAATCTTATTGACTCTGATTGGTTTTGTTTGTTGTTTGATTTTTGTAGATGTGAAAAAAGATTGGTCTGACCATGCTCTCTGGTGGGAAAAGAAGAAAACTTGGCTTCTTAAAACACATTGGACCTTGGATAAGTACGGTATTCAAGCAGATGCCAAGCTTCAGTTCACCCCTCAGCACAAGTTGCTCCGTCTACAACTTCCCAACATGAAATATGTGAAGGTGAAAGTTAATTTTTCTGACAGAGTCTTCAAAGCTGTGTCTGACATCTGTAAGACATTTAGTAAGTATCAGATAAACTCTTTATTTAAAGTATAAATGGTGTGGTGATAAGACCAGTGACTGATATTTAGCTTATTCTCACCATCTGAAGGTTGAGGTCTGTGTATGTATGTGTGTGAAATTTTTACTTTCTTTTTCAATATTTTTATGTTAATTTAAGATAAGGAAATATTCCTTGGAAAGAGATATCATACTTAGAAAAGTGGAGGAGGGTCAGCAAAAAAGAGGAAGAAAGACCTTGGGTCAGATGAACTGACAGAGCAGCTACACCAAAGGGCTTAAGTGTATCAGGTATGTTAAAAATGGCACAGAATAGGACAGGGTTCAGATCTGTTTGTTTTAGGCTAACTGTGGCACCAAACAGCAAAAGTTTTATTTCCATATGAAATTTAGAATAATTGTGTTAACTTTTAGGGCAGATAGCACAATAATTGGCAGTGTACTGGCAGTGGAGCATTTTGGTATGATGAGAGATCTGAGGCTTAAAATAGGCCAGTATACTCATTTTACAGAAAATGATTATAGTACTTTCACACTGGCAATATGGCTAACCTGCCCTTAAAAGCCCTAGTGGAGCTCTGGTGGCCCAGTGGTAAGGAGTTAACTCTCTTAACCTGAGGGTACACGATTTGAATCTACCAGCTGCTCTGGAGATACAAGGGCAGTCTCCTTTGCAATTTATGGGCCTTGTAAACCCACAGGAGTGTCAGCTTGAGTTGCTTCCAACTCTATGGCAGACAGCAACATTGATGATGATTGATGAGCCCTTAAAAGGTGAATGTTGCTGCCGTGTATGCCACTAGAACAGACTGTTGGTTGGATGTCCTGTGGATATAAATGAGAGCTGTATGTAAGTTGGAACTAGTGCATGTATTCTTACGTAGACTTGTTGTTGTTGTTATGTGCCGTCGAGTCACTTGCAACTCATAGTGACCCTATGTACAGCAGCCCTAAACTCTCCTCTGTCCTGTGCCAATCGCACGGTTTCTGACCACCCATCCCAATTACCCCAGTAGTCACCGAATCAGTCCACCTCCTAGAGGGCCTTCCTCTCCTGCGCCTGCCTGCCACCCTCCCAAGCATGATGTCGTTCTCCAAGGACTGGTCTCTCCTTACAACATGACCAAAGTATGTCAGACGAATTACTTCAGGCCTTACCAGTTATTTAAAAGCTGCACGTGCAGCAGGTAAACATGATTTGTAATGAAGAATTTACTGTGAGTATGGAGGGACCAAGGATTGGTTCAGTGTTTGCAATTTGAGGATAAATTTATGTAACAGTAGAGGGCAAGTAGAAGTTTTCTGTAAGGTGGAAAATCTTTACTTGTGGACTTCTATAAACATTAACGTAGATAGATTTTAGTGCTTTGCTCTTTTAAATAGAATCATCACACCCTATGAATAAAGTCTGTCCATTTATTGACATTCTTATGTGCTTAAATGTTAACATTTTTGTCTGAAAAGATACTATATTTTTTCAGGATTTATATTGAGATGTTTCATATTTTGTCTTTGAATACCGTCTTTTGAAAGAATGCTATTTTCATTCCTTTATGTACTGATAGCTAATACTTCACTGAATTCCTATAAATTGTAATAGTTTAATGGTTCCTTTGTATTTTTATGAGTTACCCTTTATAAAGACATTTTCCTCTTTTTCCAATTTTGAACATCATATTTATCTTAAACTGAGTTTGATCAGACTTTTAGTACAGTGTAGCACAGTAGTAGTGATAATGAGTTTTGTGTTGTTCCTGAGTTTAGAGAACATCTGACAGTTTACATTATGTTTAATATTTGTTGTGTTTGAGGAGATATTTGTTGCTTGCTTATGGCTTAAACTGTAAATATATTTTGGTTAAGTGGTATTTACCAGGTTTCTGCACTGTCAGGTTACTCTTTTCCCTTTCAGCAGTTCACTTGCCATCGCTTCTTGGCCTTTTGGCTAAGACCAAGTGTATTATGTCCTTACTAGCAGTTCATTTGTCACAATAATGTCATTCACAAAACTGCCTACATTCAAAGGGAGGAGAATGATGCTCTCTGAGAGAGAGGAATATCAAGAATTTATGTACACACTAAAATTAACACAATAAGTATTTTGGCAGAGATACATTGGCATTCTCCCAATATTGTGTATTAGAGTTTCTCCTAATTTGAGCATATTTATCTTGCCTGAAGCAGTTATGCCTGTAGGGTACGACTGATGCTTTTTACATTTCTCTCATTCTGTCTGAACATATCCTTTGAAGTATGTGGAGACTTAATTTAATCAGTCATTTGTTTATATCAATGTTCTTTTGGTTTCATCTAATACTTTTATTTTGCTGCTCAAATTGTTTTAGCTTTGGCCATTGGACATATTCAGATTGGCTCCTGTGTCATTTTGATGTACTCCTCTTTAATTTTCCTTATTTCTCTAAAATTAATTTCCAAGGGGGCACTGATAGCCTAGTGGCAAAGAAGCTGCATTTCAATCCTGAAGGCGCCCAGTTCAAATCCACCAGATGCTTTGCTGGAGAAGGAGGGGCAATCTCTTCCTGTGCCATTCGGATCTGATTTGACAGTACACAACAAGAAGGGGGGGAGGATAAATAGATAAATATTCATTTCCTGCAACTGGTTTTACCTATATTTTGTTGTTGTTGGATGCCATCGAATCAGATCCAGCTGGCATAGGAAGAGATTGCCCCTTCTTCTCCAGCAGAGCATCTGATGGATTTGAACCGCATGCCTTCATACAACTGATTTTAAACAGACTATTTGGAGATGTGATGGAGCATAAATAGTTAAAAATGTCCTGAGACAACTGATAAAGATTAAACTTGAATTAGGTTATAATAATAAGAGTGGTAATAGCCAAAGTTAGAAAAATGAATGAATGAGTCTTGGTGAAGTTTGTGATTATAATCAACTGGGGGTTTTCCCCCTTTTTCTTTTTTCTTTTATATTTATTTTAATGAAAGTTACAGACTTTGGGTTTCCATTCATTTATTGTTGCACTTTTCTCCCTGCCATTTCACTTTTCTTTTTGAAGAGTAAAAAAAAGAAAATGAAAATAATTCTTTCATTGTTATTCAATCCCTTCCCTCAAGTCCACTCTATCATGCTACCCTCGTTCTGAACTCCTGTCACAACAATATCCAATCATATATTCCTTTTAAACAGTTCTCTCCCTCATCTGTTTCAATGCAGTATACATTATTTATCCCTTCTTTCTTAGTCTCCCCTCAACTGTTTTAAAAATTAAATAGAAGCATTTTGGATAATCACTTTATGACAATAAGGGATAATTCTCATTCCTTTTAAAAATATTTTTAAATCACTCCAAACTTTAACATTTACAGCACTATATAAATACTCTTTAGGGAGCTCTGATGGCTAGTGGCAAGGAATTGTGCTGCTCATGCAAAGGCTCACAGCTCACCTCCACCAGCTGCTTTGTGGGGAAGATGGGCAGTTTCCTCCCATGCAATTTTACTGCCTCCGAAAATCCATTAAAGGGTCACCTGTGGGTCAGTGCACTGGTACTCAGCCAACAGCTATATGCTCTTTACTCAGATTCACCAGATTTTACATGTTGCTACATTTCTTTATATTTACCATTTTAAAATACATTTTCTAAGGGTTGTTATTTGTTTGGTTTTTTTTTTACCATGACATAAGACTTTAAAATTCAGGAAGACATGACATTGATATATATACTACCTTTTAAATGCATATCTTCTGAATCCCAGTTGTGTCGTTTGTACCATTCATTGGCATCCACTTCCTAAACAACTTGCCTCTGGAAACTTTATGAACTTTGATAAATGTCAATAGTTATATTTGAGCCTTTTATTTATAGGGTTGCTATAAGTTGTGCTTGACATAAAGGCAGTCAACAGCAACAGTGCTTTGTTACACTATATAGGGTCTTGGATTTTGTTGTCAGTTCTTTCCAGCCCACCTTGACTCCCCCACTTGGGGCCTTACTCCTCTTTGTCCTTTTTTGGCATTGACATTTTTGAAGAAGACAGACTCGTGCTGAATGGGTGGTGAGTTACTAACTCAAAAATTTGACAGTTCAAATCCCCCAGGTGCGCTACAGGAAGGAGAAAGATGAGGCAGTCTGCTCCTAATATTTAAAGCCTCAAAAATCCAAAGGAGGCTCATCCTAGGTTAAAATCATCTCAGCAGTAGTGGGTTATTTTGGGTTGGTCTCATGTTTCTTTGTGATTAGATTTAGGTAATACATCCCTAGTTAGAATATTATATAAATAATATTATGTCCTTCTCAGGGAATCACATCTGGAGATACAGTGTTCACCTGCCTGTCACTGGTGATGTTATTTTTCATTATCTGGTCAAGGTAAAGTTTGGTTTTTTTCACTATATAGTTACTTTTCCCCTCTTGCAATTAATAAGCAATCTGTGGAGAAGTTCAAGGGAACAGACATATCCTACTCGCCAGCACATTATCCTTTTCAAGTTTGCTTTTTTTTTAAACAAATTACTGACATTATAAATAGCTAGGCCCTCAGATAGTCTCTTTAGATGTTGTCTTTATATTAATAACCAGGATGCTATAGGATTTTTTTTTAATAATGTCTATTTTAGCATAGCTTAATCAATAAAGAGTAGGTTAGTGTTAGAAGACAGAAGTTGTCTTAATACGTTTGCATGTACAAACAGTAAAAACTGCAACCAAGCCAGGGCCTTGCATGTACTGTAAATATTTTTTCAACATTCATTTATTCTGTGCCTACTGAAACCTGGAAAGGTGTGTGTCAGGTGGTATTCTTTTCCCTATCTATTCAGTACAGTAAGTAATCTAAGAAAACTGACTCTATGAAGAAGATTGTGGTATTCTTTCTCTGTACATAACACAACTTTACTTGCTAAAAGTGAAGAGTACTTGAAGCACTTACTGAAGAAGGTTAACGACTATAATTCAGTATGAATTACACCTCAATATCAAGGAAACAAAAATTCTTACAACTAGATCAATAGGTAGCATCA